TTATTTGACAGATGAGCAAATAACTTAATGCTCATTTGTGAAATAAGAAAACAATTCTTTGATCATTTGTCAAATGAGAAAATAATTCAATACTCATTTGTCAAATGAACATGCAATTCAATGCCCATATATATACCCTTACCAAAGAAAATTAGACTTATGGGGATATTCACGTTTCACATTGAAGTAAGCAAACAATTATACTAAGTTTATTTAAAAAAAAGTCATTAAGTTAAGCCATAATTATAACATAAAAATGAATTGTGATTATTATGTATTAACTTTTGGTTTGGTATGTGGTATCAAAGGATACCATATCACCAAATAGAGCATAACTCTTTTTACAAAGGGGGTCTGCCCACAATGCTCTACAAAGGCAATAATCTTCGTCCATCTAAAAATCAAAGGAAAAAGCACTGCATATTAGCTTTTTGTTGGTAAAATTATCCACGAACATTTGAGCATCACTTCCTTGAATGTATGCTTTTAAATCACTATGAAATTTTTTGAAATCTTGCTTAGATGCACCAATGTTATCATATCCTCCAACAATTTCCTTCATCATTCGAAAAGTTGTAATGGGACCAATATTCACCTATTTAAAGAACAACACAGTTTTTCAAATGAGCAAACAATTTAATGCTCATTTTTCAAATGAACAAACAATTCAATGCTTATTTTTCAAATGAACAAATAATTATTTCCTCATTTGTCAAATGAGCAAATAGCTTTTATTAGAACATATAGAGAATTCATGAAACATAATATACTTTGAAAGTGTTACCTTAGAATTATTCATAATTATTTTTTTGTGCAATATGTTCATTTTCCTTCCTTCTTTTTGGAAGAGATTGCAACTAGGTGTATAATGTGAATGAGTATGTCTCTAATGAAATTGTGACACTATGAATTTGTTATCATCACAATGCTTTATGACAATATGTGCCTTGCACTCAACACGAGTAACGAGTCTCTTCCTTTTAATTGAAGCTTTTTCTGCATTACTATCTCCTTCCTTGTTATTTACATCTTTTTCAACAGTAGTCGTTCTTTTCTCTTTGTAACCTTCCTTATTGCATAAGATATACTGTGATTTCAATTCTTTGCTTCTTCTTTGTCTTTTCGTTATACAATTTCTTATGTTGGATCCAGCAGCAAATGCGTAACTTTTATAAAATTCAAGGCACTCTTCAATATTATTAAACTTCATTCCTATAGAAGGTTTCAACTCATTGGGGTATATTGGAAGCCATTCTTTTGTTCCTCCAGGAGTGAGCTAAGGTGTTCCTTTCGGAGAAACTACTATTATAGGAGTAGTTGGCACATTTGTGATGGTACTAGAATGACTGTCAAGTTGTTCGTTGTTCCTCATCATTTCTGTCATTAAACATAATATAAATAACAAGTCATTAACATTCCCACAAAATAGTAACAGGTGAATATGCACCCCCTTTGTCATTAAACACACTTACAAACAGACTCTCAATAATTAGAACTGAAATTAGATTCTTAAATAAGAATGTACATGGCCAAAAGCAAACACACACACTTATACATACACTCTTACATTCACTCACTCACACACACACACACACACACACACACGCACGCGCACAAAGCAATTTCTGAAATCAGAACTGCAAGCAGAAAGATGAAGGGGCAAGGGGGATAGGTTTGTGCAGGGAAGTGGAAGAAGGGAGTGTGGTTGGTATGTAGGAAACAGACCAAGAAGAAGGGGGTGGGGCTTGTGCACATGCAAGCAGACCAAGGAACTCAATGCTCATTTATGAAATAAGCAAACAATTCTTTTATCTTTTGTTAAATGAGCAAATAATTGAATGCTCATTTGTCAAATGAGCAAATAACTCAATGCTAATTTGTGAAATTAACAAGTAAGTATTTTCTCATTTGACAAATGAGCAACTAATGATTTGCTCATTTGACAAATGAGCAACTAATGATTTGCTCATTTGACAAATAAGCAACTAATTATTTGTTCATTTGACAAATGAGCAACTAACTATTTGCTCATTTGCTAAATGAGCCTATATATGATATATTACTTGTCAAAATAACACAGTACAACGCAACAATATCAATAATAAAGCATATTTATAGAACCAAATTTACATCGAATGATCAATTTTATATAAGCAGATGCAGGAGAAATTGATTGTGGATACTGTTGTATCTGCAATTAATCACGAATGCTCCTTAACAGAAATCTGCAGTAAGCTGAATTCCCCAAAGGACTTCCTTTGCTTCACTAATGCAAGGCTCCTAGCAGTCTTTCACCTTCCACGAAGCAGCTATATAACATTCCCATCACTTCCCTCCACTTTCTTTCCCTCTACTCTTTTTTCTTCACAATAATATGGCACTCTCTTTCTTCTAATCCTAGCATTAGCAATAGCATTAGCTACAACTACCTCTTTCACTTTCACTGCTTCTGCAACTCATAATAATGAGCTGAATGCCATTTCTCACCCTCTTCCTTACACCGTACAATCACCACCACCACCAAACTCTCTCTCCTTTCTCCGCCCCTGTCCCTGCCCCTGCACCTTACCACCACCACTATCACCACCACAACAACCTGTATCACTCTCACTCCCCTGCCGCCGCCCCTGTCCCCTGCACCCTACCACCACCACCTTCACCAACTTATTTTTCTCATTTGCTCATTTTAATATTTGCTCTTTTTTTTGGATTTGCTCATTTTAATTATGTTTGATCATAATATTTTTTCTATATTATTACAAATATTTAGGTTTGCTCATTTTCAATTTATTTGCTCATTTTAAATTTGATTGAAAATTTTCAATCTCAATCAAATTAATTAAACCTAAATTATTGATTCAATTAAAAAAACTTCAAAGATGTAAATTCAATCAAATCAATAATTGATGCAATTAAACATGCAATTCAATGAGAATAGAACAAACCTTAAACATCGAAAATTATTATGCAATTAACATGCAATTCAATAACCCAGCGATTGATGCAATTAAACATGTAATTCAATGAGATTAGAACAAACCTCAAAAATAAAAATATATCATGCAATTAACATGAAATTAACGAAAATAATTCGAACTAAACAATATGAAATTCTCAAACACTAAGATTAACATGCAATTGAAAAATATTTTGTAAATTTTGATGCTAAGATCACTCATTGGAAAAATTTTTAAAATCCAACATTCAAACCATGAAATTCGAAAATACTGACAAATATTAATAAAATTACATTCGGAAAAAACTAACATAACTTTTGTTGATTATTTACCTGTATAATCTATGAAGCTTGTTGATTCTTATTGCTGCTGAAATCTGACAAAAATCGAACGGAATTGTGTTCGAAATTCTTGAATCTCACTGAAATGGAAGCTCGTAGTTCTTTGCTCTGTTTTTCTAAGTAGCAGCAGTATATCGTTTGATATCATTTGATATCAAAGGTTTGGATGTATTAGAGCCGTTGATATCGGTAGATCCTAAGGCTTAGATTTGTTCTCATATATTAGGAGTATTCTCACATAAAGGGTGGTTCTCACCGGATATATATATATACATATGTATATATATAGAATTAGGCTCATGTGAGAAGTGCTCTTATTGTGAGAAGGGTGAGAAATGATTGTGACCCTTGGATCATGACAAGGACGATTAAGATTAAACAAGATATATTCAATTAGCTATACTTTTTATTCTTATCTGACAACACAAACCCCCTCTCCCAAAGTTCACTATTCGGATTATCTTTGATTTGCTTTACCCCCGACCATACTCACGCACATCATTTCGCCGGAAAATTTTCTGGAAATTAATCAAAGAGAACGACCGAGAATGGACGTCATGTATATGCCCCGGTTATTTGATGCGATGATCGATGACTACTCCACCTTGAGTGCATATCAGCGCATAGGCGCTATGGATGAAGGAAGAAAATAGGAGGGTAGCAGTGTCATTTACCAAGCTCAAGAAATGCAAAAGTGGAGGTTGACTCACTAAATACCCATTATAATATAAAATTTGACGGGATTGGTTTTTTTTTTAATATGAAAAGGATATTTTTCATAAAGTAACAGCAAAGTATTCTCTCTCCTCGTTTTCCCTTGTTCGCTCCTCCAGCTCCTCCCTGTAGTTACTGTACTCTGTTCCAACGAAGATACTACGACGGTGGTTGCTGCTGGAGCTAGAAAAGAATTTTTGTGCGTGGTAATCGTGAGCAGTTGTGTGAATTGTGTACCGACAGTCGTTGGTTCCTTTGATTGAAAGTATGGTCTCAAAACTGAGTGTAATAACTTTTCTATGGACGCATTTGTTGGTTATTAAGAAATTTAAAAAACACTTGTAAATTGTTTGTTGTTATGAAGTTTTAGTTTTTGTAATTTAGGGTTTTCCAGTGAATTTATCCATTTAGGGTTACCTGTGTGGTTCATTTTTTTTATTGAAAAAAACGTTAGTGGGCGTGGTTCTAAAACCCTTAATTGGAATGAATTGGTTGTTATGATGTTTTAGTTTATGTGATTTACGGTTATCTAGTGAAAATAGCGAAGTAGGGTTTCCTTTGTTGTTCATTGTTATAATTGGGATTAATTTGAGGATGTGAAACCCGTAATTAGAATGAATTTGTTGATATGATTATTTAGATTATGTAATGCTTTGTTTACTACTGAAATTTGCGACCCTTTGTTGTTTAATTGTAATGAACAATCAAAATTGTTGTGGGTGTGGTGGTAGGAGTATTGAATTAAAGTATTTAATTTAATTTGAATCCATTTAAATGAGTGATTAATTGTGAGTTTTTTGGGGTGGAAGACGTATTGAAGTATGAATAAGTGATATTGTTACATTAAGATATTATGACTATTGTGGTATGTAAATCTGAATATAGTGGAGAAATTATATGTGAAGAGTTAAGGCTATGTTGAAATGGTTTTATGTAGTTGGGAAATCCTATTTATCGAGATTTCATTTGAACTTGGCAGGAGGAAATAATGCCGAGGAAGAGCAAGGGATCAGGATTGGTGAGTTATTGTTTGTTGAGATAAAAAGATTGTGTGTTTTCTTGGTGATGGTTGTGTGTTGTAGTTGATTTTTGGTGGCAAATACTTGTGTTTGTATAGGCGTGGTCGAAAGTCGTGAATAAGGAGGCGCCTAAAAAGAAAGTAGCTAGTAAAGGGAAGAATAAACAGAAATCTATTCCAGTTTTTTGAGGTAGAGTATTTAAAGGACTCTGATGAAGCTGGTTCTGATGATGGTGGTTATGATGAATCTAGTGGCGATGAATCTGATTCTGATGATGTTGATTCCACAGCTGGTGATTATGAGGTAGATGAGGATGTGGAGGAAGACGGTGTAGGTAGTGAGGAAGAACCAGAACAGGACAAAGTGAGCTACCAGGGTCTCCTGTGCAAGTTATTGCTGGAAAAGGTTGAGAAAGGGAAGCGCAAGCGAGGTTATATTGAGAAAAGGACAGGAAAAAAGGGCAAGCTAAAGGTATGTCATGTTATATGGAAATGATAAAAGCTTTTTTGTTGTGTAATACTTGTGTTTCAGGATTTTTTGGATGTCCTACGGGAGAGTTACAACACCAAGACTAGATCCATGCGCCTGTACCTGCAAAAAACAACGGAGACTCCCTGGGGTAAGAGTTCCGCCTCCGACGATGAAGTTAGAACGTGTTCGAGGAGTAAAGTGCGGAAATTAAAGTCTCTCTCGGATTTCAAGAGAGTATCAGCAATGAGTAATTGCTCAGTTTTGTGTGTCAATGTGTTTTTGAATATCAGCATCCTGTGTTCCTAAGGGGGAACATCTCCCTTATATAGGGTCCTGAAATGTGTTCCCAGTACTAGGTTTCGGAAACCTAGGACGAACTGGGCTTGACTAGGAATTTGGGCCGTTAAAGGCCACTTTCCTAGTTTGCAATCTGTCTGCCACGTGACGTGACCTGATTGGTCCACCTTGGACCTCTCACAAGGTGACACGTGGCAGACTCTGGTTAGTCCACGTGGAAGACACATGGAAGAGTTTAATTGGTCCACGTGGTGGGGTTAAAATCCCCTAATCATTTGCCCCTCACAGGGGTGACGTGGCTTGCCACGTGGCGCTTGTGACAAGTGTCACACTCATTTTTTTTCCTAATTTCTTTTTTATTTTTTTTATTTTTTTTTACCATCCCTTGAAATTCACCCCTCTATAAATAGGGCATGTCCCAGTCATTTTTTGGATATTTCCAAAAAAAATTCAGACAGAACTCTTAACTTGAAAACTTTTTTTTGAGAAAGAACGACTGCCGCTTGCTACCAGACCGCCTGCTCTAACAGCCGCCGAAGATTTTTCAAGCACCTTCATCTTTACAGACAAAAGGTAACCGCCTATTTTTCTTTCGTGCTTTCTCTTTGTTTCTTTTTCTTTTTGAAAATGGTTTCCCAAAAGCACACGACACGGCCTGGGTTAGTGATCAGCCGGTAACCAGGGACGACTGAATCTAGAACTAGGAGGGCCGACTACCCCTTGCTGGACCACCCTTTGAGAACTACCCCAAGTCCGACTGTCTATGTGTCTGTGCAGGACCCCATGGCCAGAACTAAAAGAAATGCAAGGGTGACAGACTCAGACGACTCCTTCTATGCGCCAGTTAGTGAGATATCTGATGTGCCGCGTGGCGCCCTAAGCACCCCTAATGATTCCATTATTGAAGAATCAGGGGAAAAGGTTCAAAATGACATTCCGGGCTTTGTTGATTTAGCCAATCAGGCGGACCCTAGGTCCGAGAGCTTAGGCAGTGACTCTGAGCCAAGTACTTCAAGCAAATTCTCTGATGACTCTGAAGAGGGGCACTTTCGGCTGGAGACGGCGAGAGAACCCCTTTCAGTAGAAATGGGAGAAGACTGGGCAGAGCCGTCTGCTACTCGCCGAGAGCAATATGCCCCTACTATCAGCATGTTCCCACAGGCAGGCGGAAAATGATGGCGTATAAAATAGGAAGCTTCAGAGCTGACCATGTCATGGGGCATGGTTATATCTTATGTACGCCACATGTTGAGGACACCGTAGTATAGCCTTAGGTGTGTAGCTATGGGGAGGAATGTTTTGGCTGCTATGAGTTTACTATTAAGGCTGGTTTAAGATTTCCTCTACATCCGGCTATGGAGTGAATCTTAGACAGATACCAGCTGGGTGTCTGGCAACTGGCCTCGAACTCTTGGTTCAACATCTTAGGCTATGTTGCCGGTTGCAAAATGCACGAAGTGGACCCCAGCTTTGAAGCATTCTTTCATATGCACTACCTTAGCCGAACCCCAAAAATAAGCGGGACCAGCTGGTACCGGTTGTCTAGCCACAAGGACTATGTGATGACTTTAGGGAAATAAAACAAATGGAAAGATTGGAGGAACACTTTCTACATTGTCTCCAGCCTTGATAAAGTAAAAAATAAAGAGTTTAACAGGTGGAACAGGAACCCACCTTTCTTAACAGGCGGATCTGAGCTGCCGCCTGTTCCTCGTAGAGCAAGAGAGGAGATACTTGACAAAGGCCTCTTCAAAGTGGTTATCCAAGCAAACCCCAAGACTAGGGCGAGATAGTTCATTCCCTAGAATTATATTGCCAAGTATAACTGGCTATACGATGGGACATATCTGGCCTCCTGTGGCCTTAGTGGAGAGATGCCGAGAGGTAGTTGACCGCATGTTCAAGTGTTTTGTAAGACTTGGTTGATTTTGTGTCGAACTAACCCTTTGATTTATCAATTATAGATAAACCTATGGAGAAGCTCTCGGCATCAAAGAAAGTTGCTGCTCAATACCGCTCGGCCATCCTGGGCAAGCGGCCTGTTCCGGAGTTGCCTGCTTCACAGGCTCCCAAGGTGAACCTTTTTTTCATTTTTTTAAGTCAAAACATATTTGTTGTCGCCTGCTCCTCAATCTGTGATTTTTGTTGCAGAGCGACTCAAACAAACCCTCTTACTCACAGCTGGATCTGAAAGTTCGGATGCAGACGGCTGGTGATGTGAGCACTCTTGGAAGATCCAGGAAGCATGTGGCCTCAAGGGTAGGGGAGAACCCACCTCCAAAATCTCCTGCTGTCCTTGAGGGCAGTCGGCCTCAGAAAGAGAAGGAGAAGGAGGCAAAGACTTGTTTTATTTTCCTTACCCTTTGAAGGTCAAATTCAATCAGCAGTCGTCTAGTACCTCTGAAAGCTATCGGTCTATTGGCCGAATTTACACCAAGTACTTAAAAAATGTTGAATGTGCAGATGTCCCTCAGAGGCCAGATCTCCAACAGCTGGCCAAGAACATGCTGCGTGCCATCTCCCTTGAGCAGAGGGAGTCGGTAAGGGGAATCGGGACCCTCAACTTGGATGCCATCCTCGCCCTCCTAGCTGAGGTATCCTTGTAATTTCTTACTTCCTCTTTTTTCCACAACTCTTAGAGCCACCTGTAACTGATGTCTGTTTTTTGGCTGAGTGCTGTCTATGCTGCGAGTGCACGGTCTTCACAGGCCTATCAACGAGAAGACCAAAGAAGTAAAAGTTGCGAATGCTCGCTCCGCCTCTTCTCATGATAAGGCTATGTTTCAGATTGCTCAAAATGAAATATTGACGAATGACATACTATATTCACAGGCGACCGCCAACCTGCAGATCAAGGCAGACTTGGACGCTGCGAAGAAGCGGGTCTCTGAGCTGGAGCAGCAGGTCAAGGACCTCAAGGCTAAGCTTGAGAGGGAAGCAGACGGCCTTCGTACTTGGGTTGACAAACTGAAATAGCGATTGGCTAACCAAGAAGTCCAGCTCGCCCAAAAATACACTTCTAGAGCCGAGGAGGAAAAGCAGGCCTTGGTCAAAGATATGATGGACGACTGCAACATCATCATGGAGATGACCTAGGCGGCTCTTTTCCCGGACTCTAGCTATGAGGGCTGGAAGAATCAGTTTGCCGCCTCTACTCAAGAGTACAATGACAAGATCATGGGCCAAGGCCATAGTGGAGAAGAGGAGGAAGAGGGCGAGTCGTCTGATTCCGCATCCAGGGGGTGGGACTAGGAGGAACAAGAGGAAGGGGAGGATAATTAAAAAGAACAGTAGCCGGCTCGTAACCAAACGGATGCGGCTGCTGATACTCAACAACCCCCTCCTACTGCTTAAGCTTTCCCTGTTTTTATATCAACTTTCTTCGGCCTGCGTGCCCCTTGCTTTGTATCATTACCCGACCAAGGGGTCGGGGTTTATTGACAATTTTTACATTTTTGTCGGTCTTCTTGCCGACTGTTAATATGAATCATCCGGCAGTTTTGTCGGATTTTCCAATTTGCAATTTACTTTGAATTTTTGCATTTCATAAATTTTGCGAAGTATAGCTTGCCTTTTTGTATGAATGCTTTGAATACATTTCAATATACCGATTTTTTTGGTATACCGACTGTTTTTACCCCTAGGCGGCAGTGCGCCTGTTTTTAAAGGTTGATGGATTGACTTACAAATTTGTAATAGTTTAAAGAGTATGGCTGATTTCTAAGTCAATCAATCACTATGGTGATTGCCCCAAACCAAGGGGACAATCGACCATTGGACAGATGGTTATACGCTCAGCATGATCCAGCTCTTAACCTCATTTATAGTTCATAAGACGAACTATGCATAGTTGCCAAGTTTTTATACTTAGCTTATTTTCTGTATGTCAAATATGTTGTTTGTATGATATATGGAAAATAACAGGCAGAATATCTTATCTGGATAGCAGCTACTTGTTATGTTGCCGGCGTTAGCTTCAACTATCTTGGATTCACCATCCTAAGTAGGAATAGTGGCCGAATACCGACTGTTGTCAATAAGACAGGCGGTTTTATTTGAGCCTTTTAGGTTCCATTTTAGGTTTTTCAGGTTAAACGACTGTGAGGTAACCCTAAGGATTAAATCAGTCTTTGTCGCTTGGTTTTAAAATGTATAAAGGAAGCAGATGGCAAAAAGCCTCTTGATTGCTCTACATGCTTAGCTACTAAGTGATGGACTTACCTTATATCCTCAAATTTAACAGACTGAGTTGCCTCTGAGCAATCAGCAGACGGTTATCTTCAAAGGAATGGTGTCCTTCCAACAAGTGTATTATATCGATAGAGGGTTCATAATTATTAGAAAGCTAATTCTTCAGTAAGGTCAAGTGATTGGAATGCCTAGGTGGAGGCCGCTTCCGATCAATAATGTTAATGAACAATTAATATTACGGCTTAATCATGACTGAACCCTTTGGGTCGAACCCAATCGAACAACTGATCTGAGATGACGAATTAATCCGAATGATTAAATGAGTCATTATAGTATTACTAACAAAGACGTCGGATATCGAGTTTAGAGCGTCGAGACCGAGCGTTGCAAGTCGAGTCGAATTTAGAATTCGACGAGACGTGAAATTAAACAAGAAACAAGTTCGAGCCTAGCCGTAGCCTCGCATTGGCCTAGCTATGTGAATTCTAGGCTAGGGGAGGTCCCAACCTATGTGTTCCTAGCACACGCACATCACATGGCACATAGCATTGCAAGATGTGTGCATGCGTGTGGTGTGGTTGTGCATGGCTGGGCGTGCTAGCATAGCAGCCCTAGCCATCGTATCATGCTAGTGTAAGGAATGGTGTCCTTCCAACAAATATTTTGATAGAGGATTTAGAATTATCAGGAAGCTAATTCTTCAGTAAGATCAAGTGATCGGAATGCCTGGGTGGAGGCCGCTTTCGATCTGTAATACTAGTGAAACATTAGTATTACAGCTTTATCTTGACTAAACCCTTCGAGTCGAACCCAAACGAACTGCCGATCCGAACTGACGAATCAATCCGAAGGATTTGTTGAGTCACTAGAGTACTACGAACACAGACTTTAGATATCGAGCCTAGGGCGTCGAGACCGAGCGTCGCAAAATCAACAAGCAACAAGTTCGAGCGTAGTCGTAGCATCACAATGGCCTAGCCATGTAGACGCTAGGTTAGCTTGAGCTAGCATGCACATTACATGGCTAGGCGCAAGCCTAGACGCACCATGTGTGCTAGGCGCACCATCGTTAGCACTAGGTGCTTGCGTATGTGCGTGCCTCGCATGGCAGCACCATGCGTGCTTGTGTGCGTGCCTTCGCATGGCAGCACCAAGCAGCAGCGTGCTTGCCTATGTGCGTGCCTTTGCATGGCACAACACCACCGCAGCATGCGAGCTTGCTTGACTAGGTGCTATCGCAAGGCCTCGACACAGGTAGGCGCACATCACACCATCGCTAGCACTAGGCGCTCGCATGTGGGCGTGCATCGCTAGCACAGCATGCCTTGCGTTGCTAGGAACTTGCGTGCGTGACTTCGGATGACAGCACCAAGCAACAACAGCGAGCTAGGTGCTTGCGTGTGCGTGCCTTTGCATGGCAGCACCAAGCAGCAGGCAGCAAGCAGCGAGGGCTCGCCCAGCGCCCAGCAGCCACCAGCATGCGTGGCTCGCTAGCAGCACGCATGTGCTAGGCATGCTGGCTGGTGCGTGCTGTGCGTGCTAGCTGTGCTGGGCTGACTGTGCTAGCTAGCCACCAAGGCTGGCAGCCAGCTCACCCCTTGCTTGATGCCAGTTTGAGGATAGTGGGGACCAAGCCTTAGAGCCATGCCTTGGGGAGCAAGGCAATGGTCCTCCCATGGTTATGGTCCTCGCCTAACCTCTCCTCTCCTCATGCCACTTGTTGATTGTTGATTGCATTGTTTTATAATTTATTTTGGAATGTATTAAATTAGTGAAAAATGCAACTATCCTACATTGATCATGAATGGGAGTGCAAGTTGCATTTCCCTATAAATACCCCAAGATTGGGCATTTGGAAATCAACTTGAATGGAACTCAAAAAGGCATCTCTTATTATTGAGAAAACCTTTAAGTTCGTAAAACTCTAGTTTTATACTTGGTCAAGTCTCGACTAACCCTCGAGACGTAGATCGTTCAAGTCGGGT